GTTTTATTGACTGAAAATTTGGATTCATTTCAGTGAAAATAAATTTAAGGAACCATTAATTCTAATGAAATACAAAATTTATTGGATTTCTAAATGAGTTTATACGAAGATATTATATTGCTAGTAACTTATTTATAAAAATTTATAAACGATAAAATTACAAATTAAATTATTTTTGCAATATTTGTATATTACTATTAAAAGAATAATTTAATAATAAACAAATATTTTGATACAGTATATTATTCTTTGTTAAAATATTGTTATGAAAAATAATAATTGATTTTTAGTTAATAAAATATAGTTATAAATAAACTAATGTTAATATTTGACTATTAACTTATAAATAGTATATACTATTATAATTTCAATAGTAAGCTAGTTTCATTATAGAACACCATTTTATACTGTATATGTGTGTGATTTAAAATAAACAGTTGATGTGTTCAGTAAAATCAGTGAAATGTCGATCCATGATATTCAATGGTTTTTGAATGTGAACTACTGATAGACTGGTAGAGTTGGTCTCAACCCTTATATGACACTCGCTTTCAGAGCATTGATGGGAGTGAAGGTGTACTCCAATGATACCAACATTTAATAATGTGTTGCATTTGAGCGCAATTGACAGAAAATATCACAAAATAAGATAATATTAACGTTTAAGAAATGATTGTCACACAAAATGATTTATCGCTATTGAATACATTTGACAGCTTAAGTAAAACCAACTCTGAATATCATGCAGTAAGTTGTTATGCCATACACTGGGATATCCATCAAAATTGCCAATTATAGCCGTAATTTGAATATATTAATAATGTAATAATAAAATATTAAAATATCCTGACTCCAAACAATAATATTCGTTAATTTAAATATAGTAAATGTGTTCAATAATTAATTAGAAAATATCAAATGTGAGACAAAGTGAATGTTGCTTGCTTATGTTCAGTGAATCTGCTTTCTTATTCTGCGACCAAAGAGTTAATTATGGGTTGAAATGAATGCAAAACACAAAGCAATTAATTGATGCATTTGTGTAAATGTGAGACAAAGTGAATGTTGCTTGCTTATGTTCAGTGAATCTGCTTTCTTATTCTGCGACCAAAGAGTTAATTATGGGTTGAAATGAATGCAAAACACAAAGCAATTAATTGATGCATTTGTGTGCTCTCGAGTTAATTATATGAGTTTATCGATTAGATAAGAAATTATTGTTTTTGGGTTTTATGTGCTCTAATGCACGGATTAAAGGCAAACATTGTTTGAATGAGTGAATGACATAATAGACTGTATATTCATGTTTCGCATACAGTGAAGGGGTAGTGAAACGCCGTAAGACTTGTTGCTATTTATAGCCATACACTATATTTGATAAATGTTTGAATGTTTTAAAAGAAAAATCTAATCATTTGGATGTTTTGGATGTTTTGGATGCAAGCATTCTGTATATGAGTTTGTGTTATGTATTGGAAAGTGAGTCATACAGTGATGCAGTCATATAGTGGTAGACAGAGAGAGAGAGAGAGAGAGAGAGAGGAGTAGAGGAGAGCGTTTGGATTTGTAGATGAAATCCATGCACTCATTGCTTGCATTGAATAATACTTGCATTCATTCTTTGATGACTATTGCAAAGTCTGAACCAAAGCTTGTGTTTTATGTGTAGAACTGGTCGTAGAGTCGAGTCGTGTATCATATAGACTGAGCCTAACAGAGATGCTCTGCTCTGTTGTCATAGAGACCCGGAATACCCTTTAGATGTGGTGGTGTCAGCCCCTGCACTCCCCTCTGTTAGTGTAGAGATGCTGTGGCACTGGTAGTGAGTCCTCCAGTGCTCCAGTGCTCGGCTCTCTTGTTGCCTCTTCTGTTTTGCTGCTGTTTTGCTCTCTTTCTCTATTATATATTGTGTGTAACTGTGTTGTAGTGTTTGCTCGTATATATCGTATATAACTGTGCCGTATATTGTAGTCAATGTATTACTAATGGCTGTAATGCAGGCTGTAGTGCAGGTTCCACCCACTCCTACATCTTCGCCAAATAATACTGTAAGTCTATACCATGTATACCATATTTCTAACCATCCAAACCATTACTACCATTCCTATTGTTTTCTTGCTCAACATGCTGTGTCACAATGAGTTCTGTCTATCATACATTCAATCATTTCGTCAAATATCCAAATGTTTACTGAAAAACCAAGTATATGTGATTCTCATTCACATATAAATGCATCCAACATACATCAAACATATTTATCAAAATATATTCAAAGCCCAAATATTTCATAAATAAGCCCAACATTGAGATTCTCGACACATACTTATCATTGAATACAACTCCGCTTTCTATGCCTTTATTTCCATACATTTCACTTCACTTTGAGTTGACAGCGAAATATTTTGGTCACAATATCTGACCGATTCTTCACTCACAGTATTTTTGAATTGAAAAATGGTTGAGACGGCAGTTTAAAATCAGAACCCCATATATCACAGCCTTTTGGCTATAAGGCCTGCAAATAGAGACTGAGTTATAAACATACAGTGAATATATAAATATATATTCATTTAACGGAAACTAATAGTGAGTGCAGACTAACTACAAACAGATGAGAGACGCGATGATAGACTCATAGACTGTAACCAAACCAATGGGTCTGTTGTGTGAACTCGAGTCGAGCTATTTTTGAGACCAACTCTCACTCAAACTCCTGTCATTTGAAGTTAAAATTCCGATTCAAATATATTTAAACACATTATTTATCGAAAAGTCTCTTTACTTCGTGTAAGCATTGGCCAACTCTTCAATTTATGGCTGTCTCTCTCTCTCTCTCTGTCTCTCTCTCTCTCTCTCTCTCATTCACTCACTCACTCTAATAGAGCTTATTCTCATTTTGCTATCAGTGCGTTAGGGCGGGCAGTGATAATATTTAGTGGACTCATTCCAACGCTCAAACATTATTAATCATATCTTATGACTCGAAGTAATGCATTGGACTATCATTTATAATCCGAAGAAAATTATTTTTAACACAAATATTTTCACTATATATAGTACATAAAATACCTTCAATTCGGTTCAATACAATCGTATAAAGTTATGTCAATCAAAGTTAAGTCCTAATGTCCAACCCTATTACATAGTATAAAGTGTATATAGTGATGCTGGTTCAGAGTATTATAATAAAACTTGTTAGAAATTAAATCATTTATAACTTTATAAATATTTTTATTAGTTAATAATAATCAGAGTAGAGATAAAATAAATGATAATGATATAAATTTAATTAATATTTAGAATATATTTTATTTAATGATAAGTATTTTAATGAGTTTAGTAATAAATATCATCATATTCTGTTAGCAACACATATGATACCAGTATAAGATTCAACAGTCTATGAGTCTATGAACGGCATTATAGTGAATGTCATTGTTTTATCAGATCTGATGATATGATTGTGTCCTAACATTACTTTCAATCTGAATGACTGAATGTTATCCACGGAAAACATTCACCAAACATAGTGCTAATGCACATCAAAGTTCTTACTATTTATAAAAATAAAACCAGAGAGAGAGAGAGAGAGAGACAGAGAGAGAGAGAGAGAGAGANAGAGAGAGAGAGAGAGAGAGAGAGAGAGAGAGAGAGAGACAGAGAGAGACAGACAGAGAGAGAGAGAGAGAGAGGACATTAGACTTGATGGTCATATACTGTAGTGCTGTGTATAACACGATTGAATTCATTGAATTTGGTGTAAATTATACGTGATATGAATGATATAAATATTATGTAAAGTGATTCATAAGACAACAAATAGCAGTTGTAGTCATAGTGTGTGATATTGTAAAATGAAAAGCCATGCATTAGTAGGTATGTGCTTACCATAGCACTGTTATGTGTGATGTGTGACTTCATAAGTTATTAACACAGCCTCCTAATCCAATGCATTAGGCTATCTATGTGTGCAATCATATTATAGTCGTCTCTCAATAATTTGATTTTGAAACCAACTTTTTTCACATGAATGCGTGCTTTGCGTTCAACTCGTAGTCCTTATTACGGACTCAAGTTTGCGCCAAATATCGTCTCTTTGCTTATATTATGGACTATACGACGACTAATATGTATTGAATTAATGCGAATAAATGATTACTCAGTAGTGCTGAGCATTGTATGGTTGAGAAGATGGTGTAAATCCAGTATCACATCCATCGCCCACTGAATTGGCGAGAAAGTCTACACAAGAGTTGCAAACTTTGCATATATTGGTGAATATGAGTGTGTTTTGCGCTGTTTATTTATGTAATACCATTTTAGGCACCAAAAGTGCACACTATTCCCGATGTATAGCTGTTTAGTGTTAGACTCGTGCGGCTGTTGTAGTAGTGGTGCCAGTGTTGAGCTCTCTATCAAATGTGTACTCTATTTATGCCTGAAACTGATGCAACATTTTCATGAAAATGCATTCATTAGTCTCTCTTTTGACCCACAGATGAACCGTCCAATTCAAGTGAAACCAGCAGACAGTGAAAGTCGAGGCGGTAAGTCATCCCATCCCACATATCATACCTTATTACTACCAATCCCCCAATTCTCTCTCTCTCTCTCTCTCTCTCTCTCTCTCTCTCTCTCTCCACTATTTATTTTACTGTAATTTATTACTCCTTCAACAACAACAAAAAGATTTTACAAAATTTATACCAAAATACATCATTTAAAAAAGTTATACTAAAGAAATTACCATATTAAGTTTTTAGTTAGTAAAGCCATATATTAAAATGTTTATTTTTGTTGTTTTATACCGTGATTACCTAAACTCTACTTTTTTCTAATTTGTTAAGCAAGTGTATTTTAATTTGACCAAATTATTTATAGTATAATCTAATTCTCACACCAATTCATTCACAAATGTATATTATTCGTTGAGTTTTACTTATTAATCGAGATTTTGATATTAAGTACTTATGATCAGAATCTATAGGCTCATGAGTGATGAATTTACTTCTTGAAACTAAAATCAATGACAAAACCATCATTTATAGACAATAGTTAACACATTTAACTCAATGTTCACACCGAGAATTAGTATCCCATGAGAGGTGCCATCCCTTGTATCCGATTTTGTTAAAAATAATGATTAAATTTAAGAATACTTTTAATAGAGATTAATAATAACTGACAATAAAATATATCGATTCAGACAAACAGATAAATGTTGTTATGTCTTATGTTTCAGTCAGGAATTGCTTACTTTGGAGTCTTAAACAAACATTTCTAGCGTATAATATGAACAATACATCAGTTATAAGTTAGAATCGACCAAAATATGTTTAAAGAATTTTTATGTTAATATTTTATCAAGTCCGTAATATGAGCCAGAACATACATATTTAAACAAATTGAGAATAAACATTACCAACAGTGAACATTTATTTATTTGGTCGAGTAAAACTGAACTGGTTAAACTAGAACTTCAATTAGAAGCTTAAACTTTTTTATACATTAAACAATAAAAAGACTTATAATAATCTAGCTTACAATTGAAAATAAACAAAAAAATTCTTACATATTTGTCATATATTTATAGCTATAAATTATAAATTATAATAATGAATTGAATATATAATGTTCAGTATTGTGCTGATAATTTTATTTGATCTGCATCATTTCTCACAAATAAGTAGTATAAACGTTCTGTATCTTACGATTACACCTTATTTATCTCAATAAAATGAATGTAGGTCTCATTGTTTATTATCATACAATTGAACGCATTGGGAGAGAGATATATTATATTGTATATACAGTAGTATTGGTATAAGTGATACCATATCTATAGTATAGGATATTTGTAATAATTATAATAATTCTTATGATATATTTGAACGAAACAGAAGACAGAAAACTATTCGTCGGAATGCTTAGCAAACATCAGTCAGAAGAGGACATCAGAATGTTATTCCAATCGTACGGATGTATCGAAGAGTGTACTATTCTTAGAGGACCTGATGGCCAAAGCAAAGGTCAGCATGTCTTATAATCTTATACAGTATACACTTTAAATATAAAGTCAATTTTAGCAATGTTTATGTTTTATTCGATCACATTTCTGTGTTATATTTCTCAAATTCTTAAATCATTAATACATGCATTAGTTTAAAAGAAGCAAGGTTGTTGAATTTGTTGTCATTTATTAAGTTTTCTCAATTTACAATTTGATAATACTAAACAATGATATATTCTATTACACTACCATTTACTATACATTATTTTGTAATATTCATTGTGTATTATTAACATAAAAATATATTATAAATGTCATAGTTCATAGACAATGAGATATATAGTTTCATCAATAGTAGCATTTCTGACCTCCTTATAGCACTATAAACAAGAATCTATAAATGAGTAGAGTTACCACATTTATCTCATTCGCCAGTGTAAAAGTACATTGACCACAATTTTGATAGACAATACAGAGGTCATATAATTTAGAAAATATATCAAATCTATTCTTCAAGGCAATACTGTATAGCAAAATTAAAACATTGTTTATAAAGAATTAAATTTTTCAAATTTTTTATATATTTAACATATGACCAAAGGTCGAGCGCATTAAATAGATAGAATACATATAAATGAATATTCATGATAAGTTTAACAATTTATTGAGATTCCTTAACTGCATTAACGTAAACATACATAAAACGTGTGCTAAATTAGGAATTTGTACTTGTTATTGTAAGAATTATGATAATTGCACCATATTGCTTTTAAAGTTGTCTGTAGTGTCTTTGTAGTATCTGAAGGTATCATTGAGTATTATTATTTTAATCATACATAACCCAGTTTCAATCTTTTCTGTGTCCATGTTTATATAAATAACAAACAAAAATCATCAAGGCCTGCTATAATATGTATATTGATTGAAATTGAGTAACTTATTCCAACTTCTGGTTAAGATGGCAACAAGATTTATATGAATGTTGTGATATGAGAAATGTTGAGATTTATAACATAACTATTTATAACATTGCTATCATATATGAATACAATAGAGAAATGTTGTGTAAAAAGTGTGAAATGTCTGACAGGCTGTGCATTCGTGAAGTTTGGAAGTCATGGTGAGGCTCAGGCAGCCATCAATTCGTTACACGGAAGTCAGACAATGCCGGTAAGGGTTTGTATAATTCATATATTAAACGCCATAAAAGTAAGTTGAATTCAAACTAATTGACTGCCTGTCCACACATGCATTCGTGCACTGATAGGGAGCGTCCTCTAGTCTTGTGGTTAAGTTTGCCGACACTGAGAAGGAAAGACAGTTAAGACGAATGCAACAAATGGCTGGAAATATGGGTTTATTGAGTCCATTCGTGTTCAATCAGTTCGGTGCTTATGGAGCGTATGCACAGGTAGTTCATACTCTGGTCTGAACAACTGATCATATGATTGTCTAATGTGTACGGACTGTGCAGTTGATGCAGCAACAGGCGGCCCTCATGGCAGCAGCAGGTGGTTACGTGCCTATGGCCGCAGCCCTGGCCGCACAGTTACCTGCCCAGGTACAAATGCCCAATGGACTCGGCAGTCCCGCACTCACACCCACTTCAGGTAAACCTATATTTTCTTTATTTAGTTTTTATATTATTTGTAATTCATATAAATTCTTGTCCTTAATATAAAGGATTATTTAGTTTATAAATTGCATCAATATTTTACAGTTATATTGATTGTCACTATTTATTTATTTGATATATTTTTCAATTATATTAAAATTTAATTTACACATTCAGTATGAATTATCTGAAAATTGCCAGAAAAAATATTATAATTTTTACTTTAACTTGCTGGGTTATAGTTCTCATACTAGACAAATTGCAATAAAAAAATAATAATATAAAGTTGCAATATTATAAATAATAATAATACTTTATTATTTGTGACATCAATTTTAGTGCATTCAAAAGATACTGTTATTTGCTTTATTAAGAAGTGAATTAGGTTTGAGTTTGATGACAGAAATGGGAAACCTATCGTAAGTTCACTGCAGAAAGAGATGCTTTTTTGTGTGTGAATCTGAATTATGCTCTAAATTGAAGCCAAAGGCAATGAATAGAAATATCTCTAAATATTGGTTGTATGAGTCATACGATTCTCTAAACGACTCCTTTTGAAAGCCATTTCAATATAATTCCCGAAAACCAATACTGAATGACAAATATTATACCAACTTTTGAATTGAGATTATATTTTATATTTGAGACCAAATATTCTTTTGATTCAACGAATATATAATCAAGTAAATCTATTTTATGGTTTGAATGCATTACTAATTAACTAATCCATTTCAAACCAATTTTTCAGCCATGATTTTTATGATATTTAAAAGTTTATTGTGAACTGTAGTGGAATTTAAGTTTAATTAACATTTTAAAATGGATTATACTTTTTAAAAGTAAATAAAATAACTTTGATTACTTTAATATTTAATAAATTTCTAATTAATTACTTTGATAAGTTAATGGCATTTGATTGATTGATTGCGGTGTAATTGATAATTAGGTTACGTATCGATTGGGATGACGACACCCACGACGACAAATGGGAACAGTGGTGGTGGTGGTCACCCTCCTAACGCCCCCAGTCCGCCCTCATTTCATGGTCAGTGCAACTCGATTCTCTAAACGACTCCTTTTGAAAGCCATTTCAATATAATTCCCGAAAACCAATACTGAATGACAAATATTATACCAACTTTTGAATTGAGATTATATTTTATATTTGAGACCAAATATTCTTTGATTCAACGAATATATAATCAAGTAAATCTACTTTATGGTTTGAATGCATTACTAATTAACTAATCCATTTCAAACTAATTTTTCAGCCATGATCTTTATGATATTTAAAAGTTTATTGTGAACTGTAGTGGAATTTAAGTTTAATTAACATTTTTAAATGGATTATACTTTTTAAAAGTAAATTACAAAATAACTTTGATTACTTTAATATTTAATAAATTTCTAATTAATTACTTTGATAAGTTAATGGCATTTGATTGATTGATTGCCGTGTAATTGATAATTAGGTTACGTATCGATTGGGATGACGACACCCACGACGACAAATGGGAACAGTGGTGGTGGTGGTCACCCTCCTAACGCCCCCAGTCCGCCCTCATTTCATGGTCAGTGCAACGGTCAGGGGGGCAGTCCGGCTGATGTCTATACCACTGGATGTCTGCAAAGTCTAATTCCCAGTAAGAAATCATATTATGATAAATGTTTGCAATGTGAGTGCAATAAGTAAAGTGCAGTATTTATAAAATTAAAATCAACTCATGCCTAAATCAATTAGACATACAGTGATTATGGCATCCATTTTAGCTCTTATATATGATTGTGTCTCAACAGCTCAGCCCATTCCCAATGGAGATCCACTGCAATCTGGAGCCACAGCTTATCAGAGTCTGACACCTTATCCGGGAATAAGTAATTCTCATTTCATTATATATTCTCCGTTTATTGTGGTCTCTAATTATGTCATTCAATGTAATCCACTCTTTCATATGTTTTGACCGCTAAAAACACAAAGTGATTGATTATCTTCATTAAACAAATTATTGATTGAAACTACATTACATTACACGAGTTTGTACAGTGAAAGTCAAAACATTAAATTAATTGATAAATTTAAAATATTAGGAATAAATTTAAAATTAGCTAAAAGTTTATTTACAGATTTAACAGAATTATTGCAAAAGCATTGCAAATATAGTAGAGAATCGAGTGTTACAATGGTTGCCTCAAATTAATTGAATTTCTCAATAGTTTGCATAAATAATTGAGTAGTAGTTCCTTATCGAAACCTTTATTAGATTATTCTCTGGAGCTTTAAATTGAAATTTTTCTCAATATAAGGCAACACAAATGTCAAATATTTAATACATTTTTATTATAAGATCATATCTCCACTTATCCCCTAATCCTAAATGAATAGAGTATTAATATTTTTTAAATCGTTATTTTTATATCACATTTTTAATGATTTGAAATTCTGTTCAGTGCAATTCTATACAATACTGTACTGTATGCATAATTTTAGTAAAAACTAATACATTACTATATTTAGCGAATATATAAATTTTATATACCGTATAATTTTAGTTTCAATGTCTTTCATATGTTGGAAGAATAATATTTATCTTAATTGTAGTTTAATATGAATAATGTAGTAATTATTAATAATTTGTGAGTATAGTGCATGATACTATATACAGAATCTGTATTACAGATACAGCTAGTAGTGTATAGAGTAGAGTTGTTTATAATGAGTGGTTCGTTATTAATAGTTGTCATGTTTGGTTTGGTTTGGTTGGTCAGGTTATCCAACAGCATATGCGGGTCAGTTCGCACAGGCATTGGCAGCACAACAGCCATCAGTGGTGACCACATCGCCACAGCAACAGCGCGAGGGTCCGGAGGGTTGCAATCTCTTCATATATCATTTGCCTCAAGAGTTTGGAGACGCAGAGCTAATGCAGATGTTTCTGCCATTTGGTAACGTAATCAGTGCGAAGGTCTTCATCGATAGGGCCACCAATCAGAGCAAATGCTTTGGTTTCGTGAGTTTCGACAACCCTACCAGTGCCCAAACCGCTATCCAAGCCATGAATGGATTCCAGATCGGTATGAAACGCCTTAAGGTTCAGCTGAAGAGACCAAAGGATGCGAGTCGGCCTTATTGATAGTACGGTGAACCATTAGGACAGGTATGGCATCCTATTCCCCTATTCTTTCGAGTGTCACTGCATTCACTATTCACTAATGAGTTCTAACGTTGAGATGGTAGTAGTCTTAGTTTTACAAGTTTTTCAAACATATCCAAACAGATAACAGAGACCTCATCTCAAAATTAGATGCATTACATCTGCAAATCACAAATTTTGAGCCATTCTTTAGATATCCTAACACTTTTGGTGAACCTAATTATGTTTTGCTAAAATGTGTGACAAATGCTTATAACTGTATGATTCAGTACTTGCAATGTTTGCTTCCATATGGTAGGGATGCTATGCTTGACCATTATATTCTACACTCATTGTACTGTACTATACAGTACATGTACCGTATTATATTATATTGTATGTTAAAATATATAATATAAATATCGTGTTTCTTATGAGAGCAATGCTTCACACATTACTGTTGTATTGATGATCATTTGTGGCATTCATTTGATGACAAATTACTATATGTTTTATATATAAGAATATTGAATTAAATTTTAAAAAGAGGCAAAACTTTTATTATTTATAGCATTCCTGAAGTTATCATTTACTTTCACTCCATTCCGTCCACTCTATCGACAAAACTGACTGAAAGAGTTTGCAATCAGCAGACAATATAGTGATGGATATATTGATTTGCATTAAGGAGTACTTTGTAAGTCATTTAAAGACTGGTTACTGCTTTTGGTTAGCATTTCAATGTCGTCCGCATCTCTTATAATATGTTTATAAATTACTGTTTAATAATCTGTTGGATGTAGTAATTGATGTAAAATAGTGTCTAATTGTTGTCGTTTCCATTTGATTGGATGATTTGATCTGCTTTTATACCGGGGTTTGTCTGAGTTGCCGATGCACTCACTAACTATCTATTCTATACATTAGCCTATTCTCGAGTGTATATACTGTAAAATGTTGTTGTAGTGGCTGACAGTTTGGCATAACTAACATACTGTTCTACATTAGTGCAAACATTAGTTCACAATCAGTTTTCTAGGCCTACCCTATCGTCCACTCCTTTTGCAGTTCATTCAAAATCTAATACTCTTTTTCTCTTCTCTATTCCAGAACTTATGGACACATTTGGAAGAAATACTTTACTATCAAATCATTTACTCAACACTTCTAAAGAGCTTTTAATGGCCAACAGTCCAAACATTATGAATACATTATATAATATTATTAATATATATATTACTTATATATATATCTGCTATACATATAACATATAAGAATATATAAACAAATTTCTCATATATTCCTCATAACGTTGACCACATATTAAGACATCATTTAATTCAAGTTATTATTGAAATTATAGATCTATTTTGAGGCCAATTTCATTGCAATTATTAGTCAATCATTGCTTTCAGCTAAATATTTATCAACAAAACATGATTTTTGATTAATTCACCAAAAAATACAATTAATTGATAATTTGTAAATAAGACTAAATATATCATCAAAAGGTATCATGAAATCCTAAACTAATTTATAATTATATAGTATCTCTCATATTTAGTGCTAAACTGCTTGGGCACTAAATTGCAAGAATAAGTCATTTTCATCAATAATTCATCTAAAAAGCAGTCATTCTTTGCTTAAATCAGAGCACAAATTAGATAATTAATTCCCATTTAAAAGCTAATTCACTATCAAATCATATCAAACTTTATAAGTTATTTAATGAAATTTAATATTTATATATCTATATAATATTTGATTGAATTATTATATATTCAACAAAAGTTTATTTCATTTAATATAAAAATAATTTTGGTTAAAAAGTATAATATATCGTCCGATAAATATATATAATTTGAACAAACATTGCTCTATTTTATTCACTCAATAGACTGTTTGTTAATTTGAAAATATTTTTTCATAATTTATGACTTTTGCTGAATTCACTTAATTGTGATTGAAATTAATTAACAAACAGTTTATTGTTTGATTGAAATGTAATTAGACGCTACCATAAGATTTTCATAATTAAACAAATATTTATTTCATTAGGAAATTAACAAATAATATGAATTAGTACGGAATTAGGATAAAATCTAGTTTTAGACAAATGAGCAGAAAAATGATATGAAATTCATTTTTAAAATCATTTATTATTATAAAGCGAATGTAGAATTGGAAACATTTGAAGTTATTATTTAAAAATGACATAAAATATTAAAATATTATGAAACGGAAGGGAAGTGTTAGAGATATTGAGACACCATTCCATCAAAGTTATGTACAGTTTTATCAACCTATTTATCAATCATAAAGTTGTAAAATAATAATAATTTATAAATAATAAATAAATACCTGAATATAATACCTGAATATTTATGATTGACATGAAAAGTATTGTCCCAACGCTTCTCAATACCACACAAACTCTTTCTTTGACTTCAAATAAATATGAGATTTTTTATTTCATTTAAATTATATATAAAAATTCAATTACTAGTAGTAATCTAACCAATATTCCGGGCTAATGTGCATTTGCAAGACATAGTCAGTTATATATATTCGGTATTTATTAATTAATTATTAATTTTTCGACAATAATTTATTTCTATTATTATTACTGATAATATAACTAATAGACATTTGTCTAAATATTACAAAACTGTTGTCCAAAACGACAAAAATGTCGTGAATTGACTTTTTTGGGCTAAAATATTTCAGTTTATTTGTTAAACTAAACAAATTTTCCACATATTCTTGACATATGTATGAAATGTTCGGGAAATCGGGTTAAGAGAGAAAGAGAAACAGCGTTTCATTGAGACATTGAAATGCTATTCAGACAAAGATGATAAGCTCTGCCCTAAAAAAAGGTTTTTGTTTTTCTATTTGAATTTCGATTTAAATTATTAACAATAAATGATAAGAATTGAAATAAAGTTTAGGAAAAGTTTATAAAATTAAATATTTTATTAATATTTCTATAAATGATTTTAAAAGTGATTGTTTTGATCCAAAATAGAAACAATTATTTATTGATATATTATTATAAGGAAAACGATGAAACACTCATTGAAAACTTGTTTCTATTAAATGATCACATTTTGTCAACAATTTTATACAATTATCAAATGAGAAAACTATTAAATTATCGATATTTTGAGAAACTAATTGATTGGTAATTATTAATATGAATATAACAAACCATTAATATAATAAAATAATTATATTAATGACATTTACATGAAATAAGAAATATTGATATAATTGCTAACCTATTGATAATGAAGAGACCGACCGATTGCTACCATATCCTGATGATATCCTGATGATATCCTGATGGATACCATGGATGTGGCCATTCATTCCATTTTGAATTTTTAAGATTAATTATCCAGATGATTAATTAATTATCAAAATAAAGATAACTTTACAAAGAATGTGATCACAGTTTTGCCAAATGCTTTGAAAACGATTTATTGTAATATATTGTAAACTTCTTGACCACAACACCAATTCGCAAATAAATCAATACATACATCAGACTCCCTTTATATACAATAGATTATATATAAATATAAATATATATATATATATTATACATATTATAAGTTTATATAAAATTATTATTATATAAATATATACATAAACTATATCTATAACTATACTTAAGAACTTTTACACTCACATATACTTTCATATATGCCTTCAAAGGTCACAATAAATCCATTTCTCTCTATCCATCGTCTCAACCAATCCATCCTTCAATCCCATCCATCCCCTCATCTGTCCATTCATTGCCTCATTTTTCTATCCTTTCTTTATCGCCAATCTATTCATTTATTATCTAATAATTAATCTAAAAATTATTCTTCAAATTAATAAATTGTACCCAAAATGAAGAAAACAACAATTCCTTGAACTATAAAGCGAGCAAATGTTCAATAATTGACACAATTATATATATACTTATATATATATAATTATATATATAAATACATTCACTTCTATTTATATTATGGTTATACATCAGAAAATAGACTCATTTTCCAAATGAACAAAAACACTATTATATGAATGAATGAGTTTCTCTTTGATTTATGTTTTATTTATGATTTTTATTATAGAAGTTATTCATTTGAACTCAAAGTGAAAATATGTAAATAACGAAACATATCAATTGAAATGAACTTGACACTTTTAAAACAAAAAACTGTTTCACACTTTTAACCTCTTTTTCAGTTTTGATAAAACAATTAAAGAAAAACTCTTATATTCATAGAAATGTTTCTAATAATATGAATTAAATACAATAAATTATTATGAATAACTAACACAAAAATACATTATAAAACAAACTAATATATATTAGAAAAAAGTTATTTGTTATCTGAAAATTATGAACAAGATAAAATGATATAAGAATTTGGGTCTCTAGTCAATTCAATGAGTAAATAAAATGAATATTCAAGTGATAGAAAACATGATGAAAATAAAGAATATGATTCTTCCAGAGCAGCTTACCATACGATATATTTATTTAAAACAAATCCATCACTTTATCAAAACATAACGATTAATACTATTATAAACACCAAACAACTAGTTATTAATCAATTCAAACGAAAGGCATAATTATATAAATATAAAGCTAACATTTTTGTTATACAATTCAATTCACAACTGATTGTATTTACAATAAAAATTAGTGAAGAAATCCCAAAAATAAAATCTCATTTTCAAAAACTATTTGCAACTAATTTTATTTCATTGCATATATTTGATTAATTTATTATCATATGTGTAAACAGTAAGTATGATATATTTGAATACAATAAGTTTGAATAAAATTTTGAATGATATTAATATTGTGAATCTTTCCTGAATAACATGTTTATCATTTTACTAACTTACCGTATATTTATGTGAAATTAAGATTTTATTATAAATTATCATAAAATACCGTATATTATATCAAAGAGGATTTATTAATA